GTTTTCCACCCGGCATGGTGACGCTCGAAACATCTCCACGTTCGCTCCATCTACGAAGAGTGCTCGTAGATATTCCACAATTCTGTCTTTATCTTGTTCGCAGGTTTGTAATTCATGCGTGTCTTTTCGTGGTTTTTTCTTATTTTTTACATGATGATGCGTTTTGAGATTGTCTGTGCGGCCTCATTGACATGCATCAATAATAATGCACGATGATAGTAATCAATAACAAACAAACCAAAGTACATACACATATATAGAAAGTTCAAATTAACCGAATTCATATATAGTATCTATAGATGTTTGTTGTTTGTGGTTTAAACATTTTATTTACAGAAGAAAAAATTCGGATAGATGATATGTCTTTTCTAAAAGGGAATTTTGGTTATCATTGATTTTTGTTGGAAGTTCTATTATACAAGAGAGAATAAAACACGCAAAAGGAAAGGCAGTATGATTCAACGAGAAATAAGTATATTAAATTCGAGAAACTATCATAATTCATTTTGACTAATAATAGTAGCGCACACCAAATTAAATCGCCGATATTAACGAGTATCACAAGCTAATCAACTAATATTAATAATATCAACCCAACAACCGATCAGTTAACCCAACCATTAGTAACAGGTTTCTGCCCCTTACCAATAAATACTAAGTTGAATTAAATAATCAATACTAAATATCACCTGGATACATAATTGATTCCAAGTCTCTTTCCACGACAGGATCTATATATGGAGTCAATAGAGCATGCATTAATTGTTCAGTATATACAAGGAAAACACTTTGGTTGCCTTTCGCCAGCACTTTCAATGTTTCTATCGCTCTTCGACATAATATTGTGAACACACTAGTATTTGGATCATTGCCAATACTGGCTAATGTTATTGACATTTTCAGCATTCGAGGTACAAATCCAGCAGTATTTACCATCTTTCGTCTTAAAGACTCGTTACTCAAACATGCGAGATTATATAGCGCCATAACCACGCTCTCCAAATTTGCTAATTCTTGTAAAACTCGATTAGCGTCAATTCTATCCCCACGTGGTAACATTCTTATCAAACAATTGAATAACGAGAGTATGGTCGATTCCGAACATCCACCAATTAATTGTCGATTTTCATATGCTACCGATATTTTTGCCAGGACTTCCAATGCCACTTGTGCATAATAGTCTTCGGTATGTTCTAGAAAGTCTGCTAATATTGATAAAAGATCTCTACTTATGCTAACGGAGGGTAATATGAGATAAGAAGCAATGTTCGATAGAATAGTCAGCATGCTTTTGCGATAATCAAGAATATCAAGAGCTCCTCTCTTCTGATGTATTAGATTTAATGACGATTTTTTAATATGATTCGTTTCTTTCTCCGATGTTTGGTTTCCATTCTGTAGATCATTATCGACTTCTTTTTCTTTTCCTTTTATTGACTTATTAATGTTGCCCTTGTCACTTTCATCGTATTCACCAATGTATAACATTCGCATCAATACAGTCAATAGTCGAGAATGTTTTGCAAGATACAGCTGGTTTTCACCCATAAACGAGAAATTTCTTATTAAATTCGTTATACACCAGCATTGTTCCCGACGTGATAACCATCCTTCCGATACGCTTGAGCTTTCATAAGCAAGCTCAAAATATTCGTTCCTTGATAGTTCGACAAGTTCTTGATATGTTAAAAATTTGCGTTCCGGTCCAAGATTCTCGTCCGATTCTTCTGTATACGATGAATAATCATCGGCGTATTCTACTAATGCATCAAGCAATACATCCAGCAAATCTGTGCATAGCCTCAGATCTATCGTGATATTTCTCTGGCTTGTAATAGTGGTCAGTGTATTGAGCGCATTGGTCACTTCAAGTTTCATATTAGACTTTAGTGACATTGTAAGAGCGTGAATATCAACGGCACCTACGTAGGTTTATAAAAGTTATTATAGTAGAATGCATTTTTTATTGAAATGAGAATTGATTTACGTGAATTATCATTACCCAAGTCTTGAATTCCAGGTAAATTTAAGGGTATAGAAAATCTTTCAAATACCCTTAAATCTATCCCACCATAAGTTTCTACTGTTCTGGTTTTGGGGAAATAAGTAACTTTATTTGGTCGTTGTGGCTGCTTTCTTATAAGAGGTGTTGGTTGTTTTGAATGCGATGAAGCTGAAAGAGCTGCTTGAGTTTGTGAAGGTATTAATGGATTAGTGGGTTGTGAATTTGTTGAATGAATGCTATTAGGATCAATTTCTGCCTGGGGGGGTTTTCTCGGAGAATTTTGACGTACTGTATTTGCAGAATTGGTTGCTGCTTGTAAATTCGGCGAGACAGCTTTTGATGAATTATTTGAATTATTATATGAATAGGACAATGCTCGTTGTTGCGAAGATTGTTGCTGTAGCTGCTGTTGCTGTTTTTGCTGCTGTTGCTGCTGCTGCTGCTGCTGCTGCTGCTGCTGCTGCTGCTGTTGTTGCTGCTGCTGTTGTTGCTGCTGCTGCTGCTGCTGCTGCTGCTGCTGCTGTTGCTGCTGCTGTTGTTGGTGGTGATATTGTTGTTGCTGTTGTAATTTTTGTTGTTGCTGCTGTTGTTGTAATTTTTGTTGCTGTTGATGTAATTGTAATTGCTCCCGCTGCAACAATAATTGCTGTTGCTGCGCTATTGATCGAGTATCAGTCAATTGTTTCCCCGATGGTGTTGGAGATTGTGGATATCCTCCCATTAAAGAATTTGACATTTGAAGTGATTCATTCGTGTAAGTTTTAGGAAACTGTCTCGAGGGAGATGCTCGTATGGGTTGATTATAATTAATTTGATTACCATAAATCGCAGACAAGTTATTGTTACCAGAGCCGACAGACAGCATTTGCATAGTATCAAGATAATTATGTTGCATATTGCTTGAGGGATTTCTCTGTATACTTTTTTGTGATACTGGAACCTGACCACTAAGCATTCCACTTGAAGAAAATGGTTGCGAATATTGATAGTCATTATTTTCTTGCGGCAATTGTTGCTGCTGCTGTTGTTGGGATTCTTCTAATTGTGTTTGTGGTTGCTGTGACTGAGATCCTATGTCATTTTGAGAAGATTGTGAAAGTGATTGTGGTGGTTGGTGTTGTTGTAACATATTTGTGGTCTTAATTTGTTGATTTGTATCTGATGATTGGGATAACGATGAAGAATCTTGATGGTTTTGATCTAATGGATTGTATGGTTTGGTAGCCCGTGTCATAAAATTTAAATTACCTTGTAAGGAGTTCGAATTTTGATCCGCTTGATGAGATTGCGATAAAGTTGTCATTTGTTCTGATTGTTGTTGTTGATGACTTGGATTTATAGATGATGAGTATGGCTTTGTAGAATAATTAAAATTTTCCTGTAATGCATTCCAATTCGAAATACTTGAAGCATTCGAGAGCTCCAAACCTCCACCGGTTATACTAAAATCATAAACAGTATTTGGATCATCCATATCCAACCATCCAACTCCATTATCATCTATACCATGAATTGATTGATTCATTAGGTTATTCATTCCAACAGCAGGCTTCTGAGCCTGCTGTGGATATTGTCCATAAATTGGTGCATATGGATTATTGGCTTGCATGGTTGCTGCTGTTTGGGCTTTCATATCAATCCCCTGACTCATTGGATTCATAAATGGTGAATGATTAGATCTAGTTAATCTAAGCATTGATTGACCGGCATTATTAGTATTATTATCGCTGCTATTATTGCCTCCTGTCTGTGTCATTGGTCCAAAGAATTGATTTGGTGATAAATTCTGATACATATTTTGCATTGTTGTTGGTGGTGGTGCTAACGCAACTCTTTTTGCCGGTGGCATGCCATTTGCTGACATTGATGACACTGCAGCAACTGGAGCTCCAACAGGTGCGCTAAACATTGCACGATTTCCAAGATTAGACATCATCGAGTTTATTCCATTGGCTGCTGCTCCCATGTATGCCGGGTTATTTGAAAAGTTATTTAGATAGGGCTGAGGATAGCCACCAGCAACTGCTGCTTCTGTTGCTCCCACCATATTATTGTTATTATTATTATTATTATTATTCGTTGCGGAGCTTGTTAACGGCGTAGCCGGAAATGAGTATGGAGCGCGGTGCTGTTGCTCACGTTGTTGTTGGTATAAACTTGGATCCATCGATCTCGAAGTGTGTTGTTTGTGTGCGAGCAACGTGCAGTGACTTTTTTGCGAGATGGGACTCAGGACCTTGTATTTTAGATGTGATATGATAATAGATATATATTATCCTAGCAAAACGCAAAATGTTTGTTTTTGAGCATTAGTTGATCAAAGCTATTTAGGGTTGGAACACAAAGTAGTAATAAGACGATGTTAATAATAAGAGGGACTATTTTCTATCCCCTTTGTTCCCTTTGCCGTTGCTTAGTAATGCTTATTCGTTATCATGTCAATGGACAAGCGAAAAAAAAGACAGATCATGTGATTCCGACTTGTCTCCGATCGGACAATGACCAGATGTAAGGAAAATAGGGGAAATGTGAGAACATGTGATCATTAGAACATGCATTCCGGCCATCTAATCAATGACAAAAGAGATATCGGAGCATTTCGGTGTGTTTCAAAATAAATATTTACAGTTGATACTGTCTATCGTTTAATTGCATGTACAGACTTGGTTTTTAATAATTAATGCATAATTTCTATATTTGCATAATGTATAAAAAATTCAATTTATAAAATTTAATGTACTACTTCTTTAAGATGCAATTTCTTGAGACTTAGTGAGTATAAGACATACCATTTCTCTAGGTTCTGATGAATTGAATATAGATATTACACTTAATTCTCATTACTGAATCTTGAGATATTGAGTTTCAAAAAGCATATAATAGATTTAGTATTATTGGATCATTCAAATTTATTTTCTTTATAATTTTATTTATAATAGTATAATAAATTAATTTTATATAAATAAATTAATTTTATGTAATTAAAATTTTTCAATATGCAAAACTTTTATTTAGATATATATCACTTAAAATATAATTATAAAAAAAATTAAAATATTAATTCAAGTTAATAAAATAAAAAATACTTATTCTAATATTTTTAATTTTAAATCTTTTATTAGCTAATTAAGCCAATTTTTATATTATAATAATCTTTCAAATTATAAATATATAATAGTTATATAATATCTTTCTTTAAATCTTGTTAAAAAACAAATAAGTAAGAGAGTATATAATAATTTTTATTGAATTATTTCTTTAACTTAGATTTTTATTTTATATTATCTATATAACATATTAGCTTTTGTATCATTTTTTATAAAGATCAATTTTATTCTGGATATTTAATATAAATTAGCAAATAATTTATTGTATGATAGCTTTTGATAAAAGTAATTACATATTGATCTTGCAATTGATTTAGCATTAAATTAATTTTTTAAGTTTTATTTTATTTAAGTATTATTAATATAACTTTTCTATTAAATATATTAGGAATATGAATAAAATATTATTATTATTTAATATATTTAGTTCAATTATTCTTAAATAATATAAAGCTAAATAATAAGAAAATTCATAAATATTATATAATATAATTTTAATAATAATTAATCTTTTTTTCTTTTATATAAATTATTAATCAAATAAAAATATATATATATATAGTGGTCGTCATAAATATTTGGAATTTTTATATAGTGCATATAATAATGAAAAATTGTCAAAATTGCCTGATAATTTAGACACATCTTCTTTATAACCCATAAAAC